TATATAGCTGTTTCGAAACTATCTACGGATCTATTGCACTCATTCACGTCCAAATTAGGCGTGATTATTCACGCCCAAATTAGGCGTGACTCCCAAGGCATTCACGCCTAAATTAGGCGTGACTCGTCTGGTGTTGACACGTGGCACAAAAAATTAATAATTTAATCGTAAAACTTTATAAGGCCATAACTTTTGACTCAGGTATCCGAATGAGGTAATTCTTTTTTTGATTCCACCTAATTTTTCAAGATCTACGCAATGAAATCTCGTTTGATATATTTTATCTCTCACAAACACAATTCAAATTTGCAACAATGATACTATAAAGATGGCACCAAAGTGGATTAACTCATCTATAAATAAGATGGCACCAAATTTCCTATTAAATACAGAACGCAATCAGCTCCTATTAAATACAAAGTGCAATCAACTCCTATAACATTAAATTAAAAATTCAAATAACCTCCAGCAAATTTATTTGAATTGGCGACAATCTGTAACCAACTCATAAAATTACAACGCAATGAGCTCCTATTAAATACAAAACACAATCAACTCCTATTAATACAGATTTTTCAAATTGATTTTTGAGTTTAAATCACAAATTAAATCTTTATTTTGTTTTTCTTATTAATAATACTTTTTTAATTTTTTTTGGTAATACATTATATAATACAATTATTGCAAATTTGAATTGTGTTTGTGAGAGATAAAATATATCAAATGAGATGTCATTACGTAGATCTCGAAAAGTTATGTGGAATCAAAAAAAGAATTACCTCATTCGGATATCCGAGTCAAAAGTTATGGCTTTCCAAAGTTTAAGTTCACTTTTTTTGCCACGTATCAACACCAGATGATTCACGCCTAAATTTGGGCGTGAATGCCTTGGGAGTCATGCCTAATTTGGACGTGAATGAGTGCAATAGATCCGTAGATAATTTTAAAACAGCTATCTATTCGTAATTATTTATTAAAATAATAATATTTTAATTTTTTTGCCTTGACACGTGAGTATACATACTATGCTGCATAACATGTTATTTGTGAGTAGTCGAACAATTCAGTATTTTTAGTCTAATAAATTCAATACTCTTAAAAATAATTAATTAACAGTCCTAAAATAATTTAATTTAATAAAAGTAAATTAAACTAAATGAATTAATAGACATAAATAAAATTAAATTTATTAACACTCCTACATTAAATTAAATTAATTAACAGTTCAAAACAATTGTAACTTAACATCAACTAAATTAAATGAAATTAATTAACACTTCTAAAAATAATTAATGAACAGTTCTAAAATAATTTAATTTAAGAAAAGTAAATTAAACTAAATTAATTAACAGACATAAATTAAATTTAATTTGATAACAATTTTAAATTAAATTAAATTACTTAATAGTTCAATTTTTTTTTTTTTGTAAATAAAGAAGTGCTAAGCCCCAAAAACAGAAAGAAAATACAAATCACAAACTAACAAGCTAGACATATTTCTAGCATCAGCAACTATAAGTTCCATCAACTGAGGAGGAGGATCTTTAAAATAAACTAAATTAATTAACACTCCTAAAATAATTAATTAACAGTTCTAAAATGATTTAAATTAATATAGACAAATTAAACTAAATTAATTAACAAACATAAATTTAATCTGGTATTTGATTCACAGTATTTACCAATAGAGGTGAGGGGGACCCAGCGGCACCGAGTGCTGTGACCCTCTCCCTGCGTCACTCACACATTCTTTTATTTTATTTTTATTTTTTTTAATTGAGTGACGCCCTCCTCCCCTGAGGCATTTATAGGATTGTGCCCCAAGGGAGAGGGCGTCACTCAATAAAAAATACAAAAGAGAATGTGTGAGTGATGCGAGAGAAGGGTCACGACATTCAGTAATGCTCGGTCTTCTCACGTCACTAAATAAAATTATAATTTCTCTAAAATTAACTTGTAATTTCTTTTAAATTCTAATTTTTTAAAGTTGTAGTACCTATGAAATTTAAAATAAAAACTCACATTAATTCTTTGAAAAATATTAATTTGAATACTTTTTTATAAGTTTCGTATTTTTTTGTTGAAGATAAAAAATATTTACTCTAAATTTTTTTAACTAGACAACTGAACATGAGTCTCAATCACAACTTTTTTTTTTCGATAGAAGTCTCAGTCACAACTTAATAGCCATTGCCCATTAGCCACATGACAACTATAGTAATTACTATTGCTGAAACCCGGGTTTGCATCACGTTCACTATTGTACTTTAAGGTGCTGTTTGGTTGGGGGTTTCTCAAAATTTTTCCATCAAATCAAGCTGGCAATTGTTGATTTTCTTGTTTGGTAGAGAGTTTCTTAAAATTTCCCTATCTATTCATATTGCATAGCTATTCAGATTTGGCCTTTGAAATGGAGCAATTATCACTGTTTAAAAAGCTTTCTTTTTTTGTAAGTTATAGAGAATAGAACACACGACCTATTAAAAAGCTTTCTTCGAGGTGGTTTTCCTTAGTTAGATGGGTAAATGGCAAAAGGTGAAAGTTAATCCAAACCAAAATACCCTCATGTTACCAAATTTTTCTGGTAAATTTTTTTCTAACCAAACAACTTTTTTTACATTTTCCTACTAAATTCAGTTTCCAACCATTTTTCTAATAATTACATTTCCCTAGTATTCAAAAAATTTCTCCTCAACCAAACGCCCCCTAAGAGTGTTGATCACGTGTAGCTTTCTTCATTTAGTATTAAAAGTGTTTTTATAAAGGCGAATAATTCAAATAATTATTGTTGTGGTCCAGTCCAGGGTGCATGGGTTGAGTTTTATCCCAAAAAAAAAAAAAAAAAGAAAAGAAAAAAGAAAAGTGTGTGTCACTTTAAAAAATATGGAATTGTGTTAAAGTAAAAGAAAGAGATAAATTATAAAAGAAAAAAAGTGGACAAAAAAAATAAAAAATGTGAATCGCACCTCTGTATAAGAAAATAAAAATGATACAAATTATTTCATTTTAAAATACAAACCCTCTTCCCAAAAAAAACAATTCCACAACATTGTGATCAACTGGACATTGATACTCTTAACTAATCACTCCTAACTTTTTTTTAATTTTATTTATTTTTAGTACAAAGGAGGGGCTCAAGCCCAGAAAATTGCGTAGTAATGACCTACATATATATGGTCTCTGTTGAGATATATAGTCTCACATTGGTTGTATGTGCAACTAATGTGGAGTTTATAAAGGCTTTGGGCACTCTCACCCTTTGAGTTAGCTTTTGGATGGTGTATCCCAAGGTTCTTTACATGGAATCAGAACCTCGCCGCCCTCACTTTCTCTTGTGGTGTTTCTTAGCACAGGTAGGCTGGGCCTGTTGCATTGTCCACTTTTCAAGCCCAATGGGCTCTTGTGTGAGAGAGCGTGTATAGTCCCACATTAGTTGTATGTGCAACTAACGTGGAGTTTATAAAGACCTTGGGCACTCCCACCTTTTGAGTTAGCTTTTAGGATGATTGTATGTGTAACTAACGTGGAGTTTAGAAAGACCTTGGGCACTCCCAGTCTCCCACCCTTTGAGCACTCCCAGTCTCCCACCCTTTGAGTTAGCTTTTAGGACGATCACCGGAAGCACCATTATACGAGCCACCATCGCTACTAAAACTACAATCACCGAAAGCACCCAGGGCCTCTTGCCTTGTTCGGCGTAATAACCTACACATGTTCCTTCTCTCTTCACCATTACCTTATCTTCTGTCTTTGTGTCTATCGCCGCATTCTTCGATTTTCATTTCATCAAAAACCCAAAACACCTTGTTTTTTGTTTTGATCTATCTTTTTTCTACTTACAATCATGGACTTCCACACCCTCTCAAGGAAGGAGCTTCAGACCCTCTGCAAGAAGAACAAGATACCAGCTAACATCACCAACTTGGCCATGGCTGAAGCTCTTGCCGCTCTTCCCCAAGTAAAAAAAAAAAACATCTTTAGATTCTCCCCATGATTATTCTGTCTTTCAAAATGTTTCATTCTTGCATTTCTTGGATGATCTCTATTTTCTTTATATTTACAATTTTATTAAGGGGTTTGTTTTTATAATGTTGCATGAGAAAACAAACCCTTTCTGTCCACACCATAATAAAGTGTGCCACTCAATTTTTTATTTTTTATTTTTTTAAGTAAGTGGATCCCACATTTGACGTATCTATAACATAAGATTTGAATTCTCCTGTGACATAATCCCTTTTATTAAACTGTTCTATTCATTTTCTGCATTCTTTTGATTCAGAAACCCTTTTCCGAAATTGTGATGAGAAGAAGTTGAATTTTAAAAAGGTTCTTGCTTTAAACTGTTTCAGGTTGAAGACTTTTTGACCTATGTAGGTACACATATCAAATGTTTGACCTGAATAAGACAATCAGAATACTATTGCCAAAATTAATGCATGGCAACGCGCTACGTCAGGTGTGGTTTTTGGACTCGTTAGCTGATAGACCATTTAAGAAAACGACACCCATTCTACCGTATTTCCATTGAGAAGAACACGTCCTTGCACCTGCCAATATACCAGTTACTTACTCCTGCTATGGTGCAACGTAGCAGGAGGAGGGTCCCTGCAGTTTCTACTCGCAGAAAGAAACTGGAAGAAAGTTCTGATGCATATGATGATTCAAATGAAGCAGGTTTGTTTTGCCTTCTTAGAACAACAGTTGTTAAATATTGTTGTTAATTCTTGTAAGATGATCTCCCTCGTTGATAATGGTTTGCAAGATCTAAGTTATTATCTGAGTATGACGTTGATCACTTTGCAGGATCTAAGTTGTTATCTGAACTTGTGGATACGTGTGATTCTTCTGAACTAGAAGATAATGAATGCCTTGGAACCAAGCAAGATGCGTTGTCTGTTGAGGAATCTAAAAATTAGCCACAACCATTACGCCGAACAAGGCAAGGAGGCCCTGGGTGCTTCCGATGATTATAGTTTTAGTAGCGATGTTGGCTTTCCATAATGGAGACCATGTGTAGGTTATTACTGCGGCAATTGACCGGAACTGCACCGGCACCAGCACCGGCGGAGGCGGCTCCGGAAGAGGCTATAGTAGTGGAGATATGTGAAATTTAAAGTGAGCAAGAAGTTAAGGTTAAGAGTGATTAGTTAGATAATGATGAGAGTTGTTGCTTATAAAAATATATAATGATGTACAGTAAAATCAAAAAGAGTAATATAAAATACCTTTGGTTTGACAAAAACTTGTGATATCTATTTGTTGAATTAATTTTTTTATTAGTTTTTTGAGAAATGTTTTTTTTCTTTTCACATGAGACAAATTTCATTCCAACACATACATCTACTTCCGTGTCAAGTTTTTATTTTTGTTTAAATTGATGGTCGCACTTTGACAACTCTTCTCTCTTTTGAAAGGAGAAAAGTATTCCCCTAGTTTTTTATGGGTTTTATACTCTTAATTTGTTCATTACTATTAATTTGATCATCATCATATTAAACGCCGTCAAACCAAACCCGTCATTCGTGGGCTTGTGTCGAACATGAAATTGGACTTCAATGGATACACAAGAAAACGGAGAATCTTGTGCCAAAAAGAAAAAAGAAAAAAGAAAATAAAAATAAAAAATTGGAGTCTGGCGAGAGTAGATGTTTGGTACAGGAAATATTTTCTTTTACCGGGGAAAAAAGATTTCTAAGAATAAGGTGATAAATATTTTTGACTAGATTAGTTATGAAAAAGTGTTTGGTATGCCAAAATTATACTGAGAAAGTTGAGTTAATTTTACTAATATTGTGTTTAGTTGGTGACTATGTTGCAATTGGAATCTCAGAATAGAGAACTTGAGTTGCAGAGAATTGAACTGGAAAAACGTGAGGCACATAATGAAAGTGAAAGAAAAAAGTTAGAAGAGATGAAGAAGGTGTAGTTTTTTCTTATTTTGTTTCATCTATTCTAACATGGTGTGATTGATATTTCTGTGAAATGAATATCGAAGGGAAAAAATATTGTTTACTTAAGATTTTCGGAAAAATAATTTTTCTAAATTTTAAGTAAGTGAATATTATCGTAAACTGAATATAAAAATCATATTTTTTCTAATCGAGATTCCCGGATAATTTTTTTTTTCTCCTCTACCAAACGCTCCCTAAGGGCATGTTTGGTGCATAGTATAGGATAAGGCCTGATAGTATAAGACGTGATAGTATAAGACCTGATTGTATAAGACCTGATTAAATTTTAATACTATCTAGCGTTTGGTATGATATTGTATAAGATAATATCCTCTAATATTTTAAAAATTAATATATTAACAAAATTTATTTTAATATATAAATATTGAAATGATTATTAGTTCTTGGAAATTGTACTTGTAATCAATATTAATACATCAACCACTCTTAGGCCGGATTAAGTTATACATCATTTTGATGTATAAAGGGGTCCTGCTGTATAAGCTTATACTATACGATGGTCAGGAACATTGACCATTGTGCCACTGTTCCCACACAAATTTACCTAAATGCCACGCTCCTGAACTAATTTTCCAAACTGCCACGCAGGCAAGGTCGCTTGCAGCGGTAGCGAACTATGCATGATGATGTGTCAGGAAGCTGGTGGTGTCAGAGTTCGCTTCTGAACATGCGACCTCTGTTTTTAACTAAGTTCGCCTACCATATAGGCGACCTTCATTTTTTTTTATTTTTAAATTTGGTACTTGTTATCCACTAAAAATGTGACACATCAGCAAACCGAGTTCGCCTGTGTCAGAAGCGAACTTGCCCCCGTGGCAGATTGGGAAATAACACTGTTCGCGTGGCATTTAGGTAAAAAAGTTGGTGAACAATGACATTTTGGTCAGTTATCCTGATGTTCACACCAAACAACTGAAAATGTCATAACGTATTATACTATCAGGCCTTATACATCACACCAAACAGGCCCTAAGTGTTTCAAAGGAGGTTGATTACTTTTCCACTTTTACTCATGAGATTGGATGATTATCAAATGATTGGTTGGAAAAGATTTTCTGTTGACTTTATCCACTATTAAGTCCAAGAATATCGGGAATATAATCAAAGTGGTTTCTGTTAGAGTAGTAATTGAAGGCTATGCATTTGCTCTTTGAATAGTCTTTTTTTTTGCCAATCATAAATGCACTATGAGATAGTTTCTATTACAGAATATTGTATATGTCTTTTAAGTTTGATATTAATTGGTTTTGATGTGTCTTTGAAATCCGTTAATAATAAAGGTGTGGCTAAGAAGCTTGTAGAAGGTTTTGCTTAGCAATGCTAATGACTATTGTCTTTTTAGAGTACGATGAAAAATAGCTCTCTAGAAATGGCTGTACTGGAGCGACAGAAAGCTGATGAAAATGTTTTGAATGTGGCTGCAGTTCAAAAGGTTTGTTTAACCTGTTTGTATGCTTTGTTAATGACTGAAAGTGTCATTCCCAGCATCAGAATAGCAGATTGTTAATGGTATTTGACTATCTATTTATCCAGCGGCCAAAAGAACAACTCCATGCTCAAATCATCCTGCTTGAAAAACAACTAGACAACTGAAAGGAAAATTAAATGTCATGAAGCACTTGTAAGATGATTCAGAAATTCTGAATAAGGTGGATGTTTTACATAAGAATTTAAGAGAAAAGGAACAATTACTTCAAGAATTAGATGCGTTGAACCAAACACTGATCATTAAAGAACGTAAGAGCAACAATGAGCTGCAGGAAGCTCGAAAAGAATTGATTAATGTAAGTGTCTATGTTTTTTTTTGGTTCCCAACTGTATCTTCTGTTTCCAGAGTGCTGATTTTGTAAGAGCACCTGTTCAATTGGGTCGTGTTTTTGAATTTTCACATATATGAATTCTTGGCTGTCAGTAGAACACAGCCAGCCCCAGTCACGTTTTAGGTGATGATTTTTAAACTACAATACCGTGTGGGGATATCCAGTGCTCTTTTGTTACATGACTTGTAGCATTTAATGTTTCGAAATTTTCTCACATTTTTTAAACTCTCTTGGTCATTTGGGTTCATCTGCCATCGACCTCAACTAATTTGAGTTAAAGGTTTTGTGTATGTTGATATTTTAAACTTTCTTGGATTTTTATCTGTTTCAGGGCATTAAAGAGATATCTAGTCGTGCCAATATTGGTGTGAAGAGAATGGGGGAACTTGATACTAGACCAATCCTTCAAGCTATGAAGAAAAAATATAATGAGGAGGAGGCAGAAGATAGAGTTTCGGAGTTGTGTTCATTGTGGGAAGGGTATCTCAAGGACCCAGACTGGCATCCATTTAAAATTATTGTAATTGAAGGAAAACATCAGGTCTGCCTTTGTTAAGCTTATAGATCTTCCTGCTTGATATCACTCTTTAAGGCTAATAAAATTTGGCTTATTCTGCTGTAAGCACTGCATTTATTTTGTATGTTGTACTGTCATGAAAAGATAATGCATATCCTTGATGGCTTCTTTGCTAGAAACAGGGGGATGAAGCAGTTTAATCCTTGCACGTACCTTGGGTAGCTAGATACTAGGTTAGAACTATCTGGCCTTGGGATCAATAAACATTGATTGGAAAAATCAAAAGATTTCCACACTTTACGATGAATGACAGGGTACATTGATGTCATTTTGTTGGTGGTGACACATATATAATTCAATGAAATGCAAATTGAATTCATTTTTATGACAATTTAATGAATTGCCTTTTCCTTCAGTAGTCATGTAGATAATCGTTTTGGATCCCGGACACAAAAATTTGAAGGATGTATTAAAATCAGAAATTGATTTTATAATCAATTAATAATTTAACAATATTAAATAAGACATTATTTACTAACATTTTAGCAATCAGCAATTAATTTGGCAACTGATGCAATTAATTCAATCAAATAAATATCACCCATTTTTGAATTCACCTATCATGAATTCAATCAGGTCCATAACTTCCTTTTTATTTTCTACCATATTTGCTCTAGAACCCTTTTTTTTAGTCCCCTGCTACTTCCTTGGACTTTCAGGTATTTCTCTTTTCCTTATTTTTTTTAATCTTTATTTTTGTGTGTTTGTCGTTCATTTTGATAAATCTTACAAGGCTATAACAGAACAGAAAGATTGTCTTTTAAGGTTTTGATGATAATGTTGTGGTGTTGTTTGTGGTAGTAGATGAATATATTTGTAATAGGAGTGATGGTGGGATTTGAATTTGATGATTAAAAAGCTAGAAATTTGAATGTCAAAGTTGGTGTGTACTGAATAAAAAAAAAAAGTGTTTCTAATTTGAGAACCAATGAGTGAGGTACTTTTGAGCGGGATGGATTTTTCCTCATAATTTTGTTTTGTTTTTAAATTGATTGGTGCTTCCATGTTTGAGTCATTTTTATTTTTATTTTTTCGTTTAGGAAGCTTTGTATTCTGGACAAGTGGAATTGTGGGGTTTTTATTTCATGTTTGGTTGGTTTCTTGTGCCTTGTCTTTGTTTGTCAAATTTAGAATTCCCATAATTTTCCGCTGCCTCCATTTGCCCTTTTCCATCTATACTCAGCTCATGATGAAAGTATGGGATCTTCTTTTGTTTCTTCTTTTCCATCAATCACTTTGCAATAAAAATCATTTGTTCTCATGTCACATGATTATATTTTTGATGTAAAATTTCAGTATGTAAATCCTTTGGAATGACTTGCATTATGAAAACGAAACCAAGAAATTTGAAAGGGAAAACTCCTCCCTATGTCAAAGATTACAAGTTATAATCCCTTTTACATCATTACCAATAACTAAATAAATGCAACTGAACATTTACACACAAATTCTGTGAGGTTAAAGGGAAAAGGTAAAAAAGCTTCAAAGTTGCTTTCAAAATAACTACAGGTAGTCCACAAATATCTACAATTCTTAGGGGGCGTTTGGTTCAGGATAATTTTTTTTTACCAGGAAAATACAATTACTAGAAAATTGGTGGGAAAATGAGTTTGATAAGGAAGTTGAAAAAGAGTTGTTTGGTTGACCGAAATTTGACCAGGAAAGTTTGGTTAAATTTACTGAGTCTATGTTTAGTTGAAAATAAAATATTGATGAAAAATAACTTCAAATTACGAAATAACCGTTATATAGCAAACGGTGTTGCCTAATAAAGTATTTGTTACTCTGCCGTTGCAACAATGTCAATATTCAAGTTTACGTTTCTCTGTCTTCTCTCTTTGTGTCTGGTTTCAAAATCGGCAACCATCTGGTACGACACGAGTTTTCGGTGGTGTGAATTCTCAATCCAGTAAACAAAGAAGCTTGGAAAATATTTCTGGCTGTTCTGCATTGGAAAATATTTCATAAATAGATATTATTTGTTTTTCGAAGCATACGTGTATTTCTAAATTAATCAAACTTTTGAATTTTGTAGCAGACTTGAGGATAGCACAATTTCAGGTTTAAGGCTTACAAAACCCAAATGGATCACACTTGATGTTAGCACAAAATGAGATGAAACTTGGATACAACTTTTGCAAGTTTTTTTATTCATTGAGTTTATACTTCAAATTACACAGGACTTAAATAAATCTCCTATGAGCAAGTTTTTGCCTCGTGCTGAAAATATGTTCTGCAAGAATGAACAAGTTTTGTAGACCACATGGGTAAACGGAACGGGATAGACACGTACGAGACCAGTGTGGAACACAGGCGATGGACAACAACTGCACAACCGATGGTTTCAGAGCAACCCACTGTCGTATAACGGTTCTATTCACGACAACCTCTGCTCGCGACACTTAACTCTCGCAAGAGGTATGTCACCAACGATTCTGTTCACAACAACCTCTGCTCCGACTAGCTGCGCTAACGATTGAAGAGCCCTACGAAGAGGGTATTTTTGGCAGCGAAATTGTCCTCTTTCACCCATTAGCATAGGGAACTTGAAATACCACCTTGCAAAAGGTCTTTCTCAACAGTGTTCTTTTCCCAATTTTCCACACAAATGTGAACGGCTGGGCAACACGGATGCATGGGAAATTTTTTCAAAAACTTCAACCAATCAAGGAAGTCCAAAAAGACACACTCAGATGCATGGCTAAATTCTCAAAAACCTGAACCAAAAGCCTCCTTACTGTTTTTCTCACTTTTCACCATTAATTTGAATGTAGGCATAAAAAGAACTACATTTCTGACTTTTAAACCATGAACTTTCCAACTATCATCAGCTTATAGAATATATCTTTGTGTTATATTAAATTATAGAATAAATCTTTGTGTTATATACTAAATTGTCTATTGTTGATTGATTTATTCTATTTAATTTATTTAAACCTTCTTTTTCTAAAGGAGGAAAAAGTACAACCCCACGAATAATTAGTGCCAATACAAAAAGATTAGAAAATTCCACTTTCTGCTTGTGGTTCCCCTTAGACAGCCACGCTTACCTAGTTCAATTAGATGATTCATTATTCCACACAATGATTAGTTGATTTGATTCTATGAGCCCACAGCTAAGTTATTCTGGTCCATTTATAATGTTCTGAACTTCTCATTTAAATCAAAGGACAATTGATCTATATCATTTTAACTCATGGTTGAAGAACATGATGAATGGAGCATGCTACTATAGGAAATAACTTGGTAAAACACACACAGACATGTCCAGTGGATATACTCTTGAATAGTTGAAACTTGATTCATCTCTTCATATCGATGACAGGCTAGCAATATAGAATTTTCATTGAATTAGAAGTTAGTATTAATGTTTAATAACCTTTTAACGACGGAGTGCCACGTCACTCAAAGTACTTCAGCCTATTATTCTTCTTTATTTCAAAGACCCCATAAACAAACCCCTCTTCAGCCTATTATTCTTCTTTACTTCAGGGCACAATTGGTTAACAGCTGCAAATTGTTCAGTTTTTTAGATAAATATACGTGAGATTGAACCTGAGGATCTGCCTTCTAAGAAATGAGAGAATGGCTTTGCAGAGGAAGGATGGCTTGATACTTGTTTTTCTGATGTGTACGTGTTGAAATTAAATGTCACTAATTCTGATGTATATTGTTTTTCGGGTAGTAATTGAAGAGATAGGATGGCTTGATACTTGCTTTACTGGTAACATTTAATTTATGCATCATTTTTACTAGTTTATGTTTCTATCTGCCTATAGTTGCTATTCACCCTATATGTTTTTCCTTCTTTTTCAATATTCTTAGTCCGGGATTGCTAAGTATTTGTCTGAAAAATCACTGGGCTGCTTATGACAAATTAGAATAGGCTGGTTTTGGTGGAAAAGGTTCCTGCATTGATAAGTCAACTCCTCCATGTGAAAGTTAAATACTTTACAAATGGAGAAACGTCACCGCGCTTTGCTTTGGCATCAGCTTTAGAATCACATGAGGGTAGTCTTGAACTATGAAGCACCGACACTTCAAAAACTCTGGCGTGTCGTGTCTGACACTTTCTGACACTCTCGGCCACTCCGACACTCCCTGACACTTCAACACGCGTTATAGAAATTTAAAAAAAAAGTTCAAAGGTTGCGTTGCGTTAAGTTTTTAGTTTCAACTATTAGATTCGTCGGATTACGATTACCATTTTATTGAGTTTGATATAAATATTTGAGATATCTTATGTTTCTTTGTAAAATTTATGAAAGCCTTGTTGTTTTCTATGTTTACTTACTGATTATATGCTTTACTGGATCTTGAATTTGTACTTTAATAATGAATATATTCATTGTAAACCAGCTATATAGCATATGCTATTTAAATGGTTGAAAGTGGCAGATCTGTTACTAATTCAGTCTCTGCATGAAAGATTTGATGGCCTTTTAAGTACCCTCTTCACGTGCTTATATTTGAATTAACTTAAACGAGCAGTAAAATAAAATTTCTTAAGACTGGATTTGTTGGGTTATCTATATACTGCTAGAGGTATTTCTTTTTCGTGCTGAATAAATAAAATGTTGCAGATAGACTAAAGTTTGACTGGTGAAGTGCTTAGTATGTCATCTACTTCATTGCTCTTCATTAATCTGTTGAATTTAATTCGATAAACCTTGCTACATTGTAAAGTATAGTAGCTTGGGTTTGTTTTACAGGGGCTAACTATTTATTAATAAGAATTATTCTGCTTATATTCTTGATTCTGGAAATCCTTTTGCCTCCTTAGATATATTTCTGAAAAGGACTAAACTTGCATCTTCTTCCTTCCTCTAAAGTATGATATTTTTTCCCTTGACTCCTTGTATGTTACATCCTGTTTTTATAGTTTCATATTTATGCTTATACTTAAATTTGGGACTCATATCAGCGCTTTATTAGTGTCTTGGGGTTAGATACTTAGATGGCTTTGGCTCTATGACTTGGCTATAAGATATATTCTGCGATGTACATAATCAAAAGTCAAAAAATTTCTTGATGTCTGACAAATTTCCTGATATACATCTTAATTATGCTCAAGTTTGCCACTGGAATTTTGACAGCATAAAATGAAGACATGTTTGCCATCAAAGGCATGAAAGTCGACGTGGTTTGTATTGCAATTTTGTGTTCACTTCCTTTAGTACACACAAGTTGGTAGAATGCAAATTCTCAGTAAATTGATCAATCAAAGTACATTATGCATCTCATCTGTTGTATGCTATATATACTGAGGCATGAGATGTCCTTTTTTCACTCGGAAATACTGAATTTCACATGGGTGTTTTTCATTATTTTGCTTTGCCCCGCGTAAATTTATCAATTTACGCTATAAGATTTAGGAGATTACAAATTTTCCAACTTCTAACATGTGCCTTAAAAAGTATTTATTGATTTCATCAAATCATCTTAATTATTTTATAAGATGTAATTTTTATTTATATTTTTAAGTTATTAAATACTTTTCTATTTTTTAATAACTTTTATTTTAATTTATTAATCAACACTTTACAATATAAGATAATAAAACCTTTAAAAGTTTTTAAAATAATTGCAAGGATGTACAGTTTTTTTTGTATAATTATTAAATTTTGTATGAGTCTCTATTACACTATGATTAATGATAAATATATTTATATTAACTTATATAAATTTAAAAAACTTTATGTTATTTTTTAAAAATATTTTGACTTTAAAATTTTGTAAAATCGTATAAGCTAATTTGAAGTTACATATATTAGATATTTATTTATTAAATTCAAAGTAATATATTAACCTTTAAGGTAACCTATGCAACAGACAGAATAAAACAACTTGTGATAAGGTAAATCAAAGTTTAAATAAAGTGAATTGTTATTGGGAACGGATCCACTTACCACCAAAAAATTTTACAACTCTTACAACCAATTAATTACCATTGATTTCCGTCAATCTAACGGTTATAAATTAATAGCATTTATTGTGTCACATTTATTAATTTCCAATAAATTATAACCGTTAGATTAATAGAAATCAACGGTGATTAAATTGATTGTAAGAATTGTAAACTATTTTGGTGGTAAGGGGATCCTCCCCATTATTATATTGTAAAAAAAAATAACAGTCGGATGTCATACCTACGAAATTGTGATTCTGTGAATTTTTGTATTTCTATTTACGCGGTACTTCCTTCTTTCACAAAGTATGCATTGATTAATGTTAAGAGTTCTTCAGTTTGCTAAAATGATTGTCTGTATGAAATTATGAATCCATTTTAGGGGAAAAAAAAAAAACCAATGAAGCATGATCAGCCAATAGCACTGATAAGTGTTTAAGACACTGTGTTTTTATGGATAAAAAGAGTTCAAATAATTATTAAAATAGTTAAAAATATAGTGTTAAAACAATAAAACAGTAAAACAGAATGAATTGCCAACAAATAAACAAATTCTAAATATTTGTTGTTGTTTCAGGTTGTTAAGATTGGAATACTGGAATAACAAAGTAACAAAATGAGGCAACGAATACGCGGACCAACGGGGAAATCAGAGATTAAATAATAAATAAAATAAAATTGGTAACGCTCGCTCCACTGCTCGCTAAAGCGAGCAAGTGGGCGAGCAGCTCGCTCCACTGCTCGCTATAGCGAGCAAGTGGGCGAGCTGCTCGCAAAGTTCCTAGCTAAAGCGAGCAAGTGGGCGAGCAGCTCGCAAAGTTCTTAGCATAGGCGACCGATGGAGCGAGCGAAACCAGGAAATTAAAGCCCATATTTTCCCTTTAAATACAACGCGATGGAAGCTGTGAAAATCATTCTGGAACGCGGAGAAAGAAGGCACTTGAGACGAAGCGAAGGAAGGAGCATAAGCGTAGCACTGGATCGTGGCAGAGGAGAAGGAAGGAGTCAACTCTGCACCATTGATCATCACTTTTAGACAAGTTTACCATGAACTCAATTTCTTTTACAGTAGATTTTAATTCTGTCTTTATGAGTATGTTAGGCTAAATTACTTTTAGTAGTTAGGAAGATACAGAACCAATGGGTTCTTAGTTGATGTATGTTTATTCTTATGAATTATATTCTTGTCTTTGAATTATGCAATCAATCGGATATATATGATTAGTTTTATTTATGACTTGATCACTCGTAGATAAACATACGAGTCACATATGACAATAGGGATGTTGGTATGTGATTCTGATTGGTTGATTGCTGGAATTTGCATGATCTAGGGATAGACTTGTGAATTTTATAACTTGAGTTCTTGCGTTAATGCTTATTCTATGAGAAAGTACTAAGGGATTATGCTTTGGATTAGAGTAAAGGATTGGATTACCAAGGGATTGAGATTTAATCAATCATAGAAAGAATTGTTAATAATTCAATCTTGAATGTAATCGTGAGAATAGACAACCACGTTAAGAAACCATTGGGGAAGTTGAATCCTAACTACGCCTTTTTATTGAAAACTTAAATCAATTTCTTTTAGCTTTAATTAATTCTGAATTAAATTTCTAAAATATTAAAAACCAAAAATAAGTTTATAAATTCTGTTTTTACTTTAATCACAATATTCTCAAGAAAACCCTTAATGATAGATCCAACTTTAATTAAATAAATAGATTATTGCTTGGTCATCAGTCCTTGTGGGATCGACAACTCTACTTTATCACTTTATTACTTGTACGACCGGTGCACTTGCCGAGTTCGTCAACAAGCACCATTGCGGGGTTTAATTATTTAAGCTATAATAAGGTCAAATGCATGTGCAAGAAATGACGTGTCAGTTTTGTTATGAGTTTTGATCATGCTACTCCCTTATGCAAATTAATTGCGGCAAAGGGTAGCCCTTTGATGGGAAATATCACTCTAGGCCTGTAATTTCCCATGAACACTTGGCATTTACATTCCAAAGTCCAAATAAATGAGTCTCGATCTTCATTTCCATGGATCTATAGCTAGTCCTCTGTTCCGATGAAATGGACCAATCATTTTCTGTGATAGCAGTCATGGACCCCATTATATAAAAAACAAAAGGGATATACATTGTAAAAAATATCTTATGTAGGAAATGTGCAGCATTGCAACACTGACTTTCTTGGACACATCCAATTCCAATTTGCAAATTATATGTACGCATATGGTATGTACACTATTTAATGCATTTTCTATATCTCAAGAACCTATGTGATGTTTCCATAACAAATGGCTATATGCCTATGACATTAATTGTCTTACCTTACTTCATTTCATTTCTTCTGCAGCATATTAATATAAAAGTAGGCTATAGTAAAATGAAATTGATCATCGAGTCATTTTTGTTTGACAAGAGATCGAGTTGTATGAAAATGATAAATATATTGTTCTTTGTCTTGTGTTTGGTTAGTGGCAGTAGCAGCCATATAGTTGATGGTATGCAAAGTGCACTGAAAGAAGATTTGGAGTTGGAGCAAAAGCTAAAGCATATCAACAAGATTCCCGTCAAGAGTATTCATGTATTCCTTACATCTTATATTTCACCATATGCTTCCTTTTTGTTGAATTTGATTTCACCAAATGGTTTTATTTTTTAATTTTGGTTTCTATAGACAAAGTTTGGGTACATTGTTGATTGCATTGACATTAACAAGCAACCAGCTTTTGACCATCCTTTACTAAAGAATCACAAGTTGCAGGTACACACCCAATTGGAATAGCATCTAATGTGGTTAAGTTTTTTTTATCTTTTTTCTTTGATTACATTTCCTCTTTCAATCTTCGTTTTTCTTCCATTAATTGTAGAGAAAACCTAGCTTTCAAAAAACAATCGGAAAAACAAATTCGAATAGTTCACCAGCTAAAGCTAAACGCATATTTCGGCTTGAGAAGGATCAGTGTCCAACAGGAACAGTTCCTGTTAGGAGGACAACAAAAGATGATCTCATTCGAGCTAAATCATTATTAAATAATCACATCCTGACTCAACACAGCCCTGGTACTCATGTAAGTCTCAATTTCAAATTTTCTCAATTTATTTCTATAGATCGCATATAATGTTTCAATCAATTTTGGACAAGTTATCTGATCAATCTATTGAATTTGTAGGTTGCAAAAGTATCTCTTAAAACAATTCCTGGTATGCCTTACTATGGAGTTAGTGGAAATAATAGCATTTACAATCCGAGAGTTAAGAAACATCAATCAAGCGCTTCTCATATATGGGTTCAAAATGGACGGCCAGGTGCTACTGATAAAATCATTACAAGATGGCATGTGAGTTTTAATTTATTTAATTATCGCAATATCTGTTTTCTAAAAAATTGCATATATATGGCTTGCTAATTTGTCTCAATTTTAATGATATAAAAACACTACCTAATTTATCTTGTGCATTGGTATTAGGTGTCTCCACAATTATATGGTGATGATGGAACTTATCTATACTCATTCTGGAGGGTAAGTAAAGGTTTTTTTTTTTTTTTTAATCATTACTTACGACATAGAGATGTGCTTCATTTGTTCATATATATAAAAAAAAGATTATTAAATTATTTGCTTTCAATGAATATTTTCAATTTTAGTTTGAATCTAATTTTTCTTTTGAGGTTAATTGGAAAAACATAAAGCTTGATTCCTTCAAAGTTTAACAAATGACAGTCAGATTCGAAGAAGACAGGATGCTACAATGTACAGTGCCGTGGTTTTGTTCAGACTAACCCTCAAATCTACCTCGGTTCACGTGTGACGGATTCATCAATCTATAATGGGCTAATGATTGAGACTGCATTTTCTCTTCAACAGGTCATACCCGTGCCATAAAATTATCTCAATAATTAAGGGTTAAAATTTATTCAATAAATTTTGTATATGAACCATGATATATATATATATATATATATATATATATATATATATATATATATATATATATATATATAGAGGCAGGATCCTTTATATACCGGTGTCAAAAAAAAAGTTTGACACCTCATATATAGAACCGTTAGATTAAAAAAAATCAACGATTCTGATTTGTAAACATGTGACACCATTGATTTTTTTTAATCTAACGGTTCTCAGATGAGGTGTCAAACTTTTTTTTTGACACCGGTGTCAAAGGATCCTGTCATATATATATATATATATATATATATATATATATATATATATATATATATATATATATATATTTCTTTACAAAAGTTTATGGATGTATACACTATACAGGATGCACGTACCAAAAATTGGTGGTTAATTATGGAAAATGCGAATGTTGGATATTTTCCAGCAGATTTATTCTTCAACTTGACCACAGCAGATCAAGTTGGGTGGGGTGGGAGAACAACAACAGCTGCGGGTACACCTAGTCCTCCAATGGGATCTGGATACTTTCCTGATGAGAACTACATACATGCATGCTATTTTATTGGTGTTAAATATCAGAATGCATCCAGACAAGATTATGAACCTGAAAATTATTTGACAGAAACATTCACTGACAAACCAGATTGCTTTGGTGTTGAATACTATGGATATGAGGATACAGAGCTTGGATATGCTCTCCAATTTGGAGGACCTGGAGGTGCCTGTTTTAATTAATCTATATTTCGATCTAGCTTTGTTTGAAGTTCAACAATAAATAAAAGAATGTGACTATCATTGCTTATTAAGAATTTATTTTTTTCTGGTGAGCTATGCACTGTAATGCTTTTCATTTCTATGCTTGTGGTTTTCAAATTGCACTTTAATGTCTTCTCATTTTGTTGCAACACCAACTAAGGAGAATAGGCCCAAATTCAGCGACTTTCAAGTTGCATGTTTGGGAAGTTTCTTTCGGCATGAAAATGTTGTTTTCTTCTTATCTGTACTTTCTTTTATATTGCTTGACTAGATGCATCAATCACTCATTTTGATATTAAGTCTAATCACAGAACCCAAAATAAAAAAATGTGAGAGTAGTGCTATTTAGATTAGGGATGGCAAGTCGGGTTGGCTCGCAACCCGTCCTAAATGAGTCGGGTTGGGTTGGCCTAAATGAGCTGCCAACCCGACTCAACCCGACCCGATACAACCCAAACCCAAACGAGCCAGCCAGCGGGTCAAACGGGCCAGCTCGCGGGTTGAGTATTTTTTTTTTTAATTAAAAAAATAATAATAATAAGAAAGATGAAAGCTTACATTTTGAACTTATAAATAATTAGCTTTTCCAATTAGTAACTTATAAATTTTATTAAGAATAGGGTAGCATTTTGGTCTTTTTGTATGTTTATTGCTGTCAAGTTTTTTTTTTTCATTTTTTTTTTTACCGTTGGTTTTTTATTTAGCTTAATTTTGATCAGTGGAAGATGAAAGCTTACATTTTGAACTTTAAACTTGTTTAGTACAAGTCCATATATAAGACTAGTTTCACAAAAATCAATTTTTTTGAGCCAACCCGCGAGCCAACCCACTGGCATCATTTCGAGCAAATCCGCGAGCTTTTTTTTAGCCAACCCGCGAGCTTTTTTCCGAGCCAACCCGCGAGCTGATTATCGAGCCAACCCTAACCCGGCTCGGGTCGGGCTGGGTTGAGTTTTCTGGCTCGTTTATTTTTTCGGACCAACCCTAACCCGACCCGTTTTTTACGGGTTGAATGTGGGTTGGGCCGGGTCGAGCCGGGTTGGCCCGTTTTGCCAACCCTAATTTAGATGGCTGATGATCTGATTGATCGACTAAGAAAATTTAAAACAAAAACAGATACTAAACAAAAATTTATTTGATATTATTTTTAATAGATAGACCCTTCTTGTTTGAGAATCAACGGTGCTACATAACCTTTATCAGCTCCCAAGAACCACTCTCGAATCTGTTCTCTCAATTTTTTTTAAGAGTAAAGACCCAAATTGGTCCCTGACAAAAAATGCGGTGGCCAAATTAGTCCCTAGGAAAAATAAACTCAAAAAAAAGTCCCCAACAATGTCAAACAGGTCCCACGTTAGTCCTTCTGTCAAATGAAAATTGACGGAGTGAGTGACGGTGCTGATGTGTCACGTTAAGTGACATGCGGTTGCCCACGTGGAGTGGTTGGACGACGTCGTTTGGTACAAACTCAGCCACTTGGACAACCCTTTTTTCAAAAACCCAATTTTGCCCCTCACCTAACCGTTGGACACTTTACCTTTCCCCCCTCTTCTAACATCGACACTTCATCGTTGAGAAGGAAGGAAGAAGACCGTCCATTAAACCCTGGTGCTTGCGTTTAGAATATTGCCAACTTTTTCCAGAATCAAAGGGAACCAGTGGAAGAAAGAAGGGCCATATTTGGATACTTTGTGAGGCTGAGCATTCCGTTGAAAAAGGTATGAGTATTTATAAGTTGAAACTTTTTTATATTGTTGTTTGTCATCCTTTGTTTAATGTTTGTGGTCCCCATGTCGTTCCCCTTTGTTTAATGCTTGTTTTTGTCTGCACGAAGTGGAACTTTGTGGTCCATGTTTCCATTTAGGGTTTTGTTTTAAAAGAAAGTAACAACCAGGTGGTGTGGTCCCTGCCATGGTTGACCCATTTAAAAATATTTAAAAACCCCATGTTAATCGTTGGAATACATGTCTGCATCCATAAAAAAGGTTGCTTTTTTATTGCTTTGTATTGTTTAACACTTTCAAAGTCTGTGGCTTCATGGTTTAACGATAGGATTGGTTTTTTGGTTTTGACAGATGTCCGAATACATAGTTATTGTCTATCATCACGGTGGTATGTTTATCAGAGATGAAGATGGAGTGATGACCTATATATATGGAAGGGTGGACTCATTGCCGGAGATGGACATTGACTACTGCAATATTCGTGACCTTGACACCCTGTTTAAGCAATATGGGTATGAAAAATACAAGAGGATGATGTGGCTACAGCCTGGGGTACCCGATTTGGATCTGGGGCTGAGACCTCTTAGTACAGATTCAGATGTGTGTGCTATGTGTGAGGCTGCTTTAGGGAATGGCAATGAGATACATGTCTACTTTGAGGGCTGCATCTCAATTCCCCAGTTTGCTTCACCTACACATGACAGTGAAGAGGATAATATCATTAATTCAGCACACAATGACGACCATGAAGAGGTTGATGATGGGGTCGGTTCACATGAAGGTTGTGCACAAGGTGATGTTGGGGTCAAAGAAAATGAAGACCATGCACAGGCTGCTGTTGACCTTGGTGCACAAGGTGATGATGGGATGAATTTGGATGAAGACCATGCACAGGCTGCTGATGACCTGAATGCAGAAGGTGATGATGGGATCAATTCGGACCATGATGAAGACAGTGCAGATGATGGGTCTGAAGAAGACAATGCAGATGATGACCATGCTACCTCACACTCAGATTCATATGAGAGTGCAGAGGATGAGGTTTACAAGCCTCCCCCACCTGGTGTTGAGGATGATTCAGAAGATGATGATGATGATATGTCAGTGCCAATTGTAGAGAAAGAAAGGCCTGCAAAACAGACCCCAAGGAGGAAGGCAGTCAAGAAGGATGCCCCAATACAAGACTCTGAATCTGAAGAAGTTGATGAAGAGGAAGCCATGATGTCATTTGAGGAAGAAGGATATACCTATCTGTCCGAGGAGTTGAGGACTCCTCCTTCAAGTGATGATGATGAGAATGTTAGACCTGTTATGCCAAAGTTCAATGAGCAAGCTTCTTTTGGGCATGTCTATTTAGAACTTGGTATGGAGTTTATGAATCTGGACCAATTTAAGGGTGCAGTAAAAGATTACAATATCAGTCTTGGTAGGAACTTCGTATGGGTTAAGAATGACAAGGTGAGAGTAAGGGCCAAATGCAGTGTAGAAGACTGTGAATGGATGGTGTATTGTGCCTGGAACAGTAAGCAAAGCACATTCCAAGTTGAGACTTTTAAAGAGACTCATACATGTTGTAGAGTCTTCAAGAATAAAAGGGCTACAAGAGATTGGGTGGCCAAGAAATTGAGGTGCTACATAATGCGAAGGATGGCAGCACACAAGAAGATTCTACAAACCTTTAGGTGTAAGATAGCACCGGCACAACAGAAGAGGCTGGACCAGTTGAAGGTTGCAAGCAATTCTTGGACACCAACATGGACTGGAAACTTGGTCCAAGATCTGTATGAAGTTTCTGGAAAGGGTCAACGTGTTGGGGTGAATTTAACTCAGCAAACTTGCAGCTGTAATGTGTGGCAGCTGACTGGATTGCCTTGTGAACATGCCATTGCTGCCATTGCACACAAGAATGAACCTGTGGAAAATCATGTTCACCAATGGCTAACAGTGGATGCTTTGCATGCCACTTATGAACACACTCTGAACCCAGCCAATTCCCAACAATATTGGCCAACTTGTGATGCCCCAAAACCACTTCCTCCACGCTTGAAAAGGCCTATTGGACGTCCAAAAAAGCATCGCAAGAAGGATCCAACTGAAGAGCTTATGAAGACCAACAAGAAGCTTAAGAAGACTTACACAGTTCAATGCTCCAAGTGTGGTCAGACTGGTCATTATGCCAAGACATGTAAGGGACCTGCTGGTGGATCAAAGAAAAAAACTAAACCGGTTAATGTTGAAGTTGGCCAGTCAAGGTCAGTTGAAGAGATCCTCATCAGCATGAGTCAGGGCCCTCCACCAGAGACAAGCAGCCAGCATGCACCAAATGCAGCTGAACCAAGAGCCAGCAGCCCACCACCATGCAATCCTGCTGAGGCAGTGACCAGTGAGACAGCAGCTGCAGCTAGCAGTGGCACCAGAGCCAGATTCATGAGCTTCATGACTACACCAGGACTCAGGCCACCTAGGCCAGCCCCACATAACTGAACATGAATTGTAATCACTGACATTAGGCCAGTTCGAATGTCTTAGGAGGCATTTTTTTGTTATTAGGCCATTAGCTTGGAATTGTAATTAGGCAAGTTTTTTGGTTTACTTTGGTTTTGGCCCTGTTTAAATTATTCACCAATGGCTTTTTTTTGTATGCCTCTGGTTATGGCCATATTAAGTATGAACACTTTGTTTTTTGGGAATACATAGTGTTCCTACTTAATGGTTTATTATGTCAGTGCCAATTGTAAGTACACAGTCATGATATCAATGAAATATGCTTTATGGATTACTAAATCTCTTATGTCATTACTAGTTTGGAATTGCTGTCATTGATGTGAAATGATTGGAAGATTATGTCAGTTTGGTTACTATCTGTATTCACTGTCATGATTGTTTTCTATACTGTCAAACAGTACTATTTTTTGATTCATTGCTTGTCTTGTTACAATATTTGTATGCTGTGTCATTTTGGGGTCATGTGTAAACATACCTGAATTCTGGGTTCCCTTTTATGCCTTATAAGTCCCCCACAATTTGGGTCGATGACCATTTTAGTCCCTATAATTTTTTCCTATTGGACAAATAGGTCCCTAACAAATTCATCGAGACCCAAATTAGTGCCTGTAACACATGACAGTAAGACACATGACAGTAAGACCAAAGGGGCACCAAAAGCTGTTACCACAGCAGCTCGTTCCCCCTTCTGTTTAATTCCCTCAATCCTTGTTGTTACTGGCATTCCCTCAATCCACAGAAGCTCATACA